GAGGTAGCTGGTTAAAAGTAGTAGCTCTATATAAAGTAGTCGAGAACACACAAAAGACGACTTTCCGGCCTTTGTTTAAGGGCGATGCGTTTATATATATTTTTGTTTCTTTTTTAATATACATAAATATAGTCCGCTATAATTATAAACGTTTCGAGAACTGTCAGAGGGATCCGTCAGGGCTGGGAAGAAGGACGAGAGAGGGAAGAAAGAGGGCGGGATAAGAGGGGAGACGGGGGGGGAAGCGTAGATGGGAGCACACCTAACTCTTTTTACGTACGTGAAACCTAAATGTCTAAAGCATTTCAAAGGATGGTAATTGTAATCATATAATATATTAAAGTTGATGTTACTTTTTTAATAGCTTAAACGTACTAATATCAATCGTAATAATTACAAGCATCGTGTTACGTCCTTATATAGTCAGCCGAGTACGATCGTCGCTGATAATCTTCTTTTTTCTTCTCTCTCTCTCTCTCTCTCTCTGTTTCTCTCATCTCCTATACATCATTTATGTTCCTGCACGCATTCCCTCTGCCTCACCTTTATTCAAGCATTTTCTATTCTCCACATACGCATCATTCCTTCACAATCACTCTCTCCCTCTTTCTCTTCCTGTCACTCGATCGCTCTCGCTAGGCAAGATTATTCCGATATTGCGATACACGTTAGAAAAATATGCTATGCCTAAAATAGGATGAAGGCCTGAAGGCAACCATTCCGTCGATATTACTGATAATCCATGTGTTATGTGTGAATGTAAATGTGTACGCGTGTCTGCGTATATGTGTGCGTCTTCGTCTATACACGATTCTGATTTCTCTCATCAGCGTTCTTAAAGGTGCGCCAAAAAGAAAAGAGGAACAGATTTATCATCAACAACGATAATCTTGATACAAGATAAAGTATATATATATATATATATATATGTATACATATATGTATATTGTCTATGTGAAGTCGGCGCATATAAGTCGTCCCGTAAAGATCGCGGAGAATCGTGTCCTATATATTTATCGTGATTATACCGAAAGATCTTTTTCGATTGCCTTAATTTCTAGGTATCGTTAGGTATCGCAAATTTCTTTTTTTCTGAAATTTTTCAGCTGCGAAGCTGCGTGTAAGAAAGGGAAAAATCGTTCGCGATTGGAGTACTTTCGGTGGCGACACGTGAAGTATTATTTAGTATTCGGGATAACCAATTGCCGGTCGTTCGAGCCTAGAATAAAGAAAAGACGTAAAAAGCTTGATAGACCTTACGGTTATACATTTAACAGAACGCTTCATATATTTATCGAAAGTAATAAGATGTTTGTTGTACATTTTCTCGAGGCGATGCAAAAATAAATTTTTAGGCGGATAATGCACTTCACTTTATACACATGTCCTCTAATTTACAAAATAAGAAATAAAAGCAGCACGGCAGCACAATTTAGATTAAGCGCTTTGTCCCAGGATAACACAAAGAAAAAGAATGAAAGAATATATTATCATTATAAACTTTGTTTTACGAGAAATTGGGAAGTCACAATATATATTTTAATATTTTCTTTTTCTCAAAGTTCCAAACTCACTCTTAATAAAGCTCTTAAGGAATTGACCTATACATGAGCTATAATTTGCGCAGTTTTGTCTCGTCCTCCATACATCTCGTATTACAAGAATACAACAAAGCACTGGACAGCTATAGCACCTTTTTGCGTATGCTATAACTTTACAAACATGTATTTACGGACGAGAAAAAGAAAACGAAAGTTCGGCACGAGTTTTAAGCGCGGAGAAGAAAAATAGAAGTATGTACGTGGATTATAAAATTTATCAGTGTAATATCTCCTTCGCGCATGGTTTTAGTATACGTTCACACTTTACAAACTTTAATAGTTCTCTTCTTCGTCGTTCATATAATGCCCGGCCTCTCTAGACATTTTATTAATCATTTATTCTTACATTATGCGCTGCTGTGCAGCACCGGAATACCTCGCGCAGCTACTTTACAAAACTCGCAAAACAAGCAAAAAATAAAGAAGAAAACGAATAAACTAATCGACTTCAACCATTAACAATTCATTTACGTTCTAAGAGAAATCGAAAAATATGTTAAAGAGGGGTTTAATTTACAAATCCCAGATTGGCGGCCGTAGTGTAAATAATTATTTGCAATATAGGTTGAAACATATTTAATGAGTAATAATTGCTGGTTATATTCACGTGAAATTGGACATAAACACACAGTACTACTTATACTTCATTGCATTATTTATGAATCAATAGACTAATATACTTAATAATTATTAGACTAATTATTAACCTAAGATTGTGATCACCCATCAACGTCAGCCATTACCTAAGCAACATTCCCTATTTTTATTTTTTGATATATAAACGAAACAGTAATGTATAAAATTTCTCGAACAAACCAAAACTTCTCTAAGACGTCCTGGACTGACTGACCGCACCAAGAGTTCTGCCTTTACGTAAAACGAGCTTCATATTCGCAAAAATTTTCCGTTTAAGTAAATTAATAAACATAATATAGAATAATTATTAACGGTAATAATCATGAAAATAATAATAGGTAATAATAGTAGTAAGCTGGCAGCAGTTAGTAACCAGGTATATTCTCAATTAAAATTCTCTCACTAGATGACAATCTGAAACTTACATGGCACTGGCATCCAATTAAGAATTATGCAATCACGCGCACGCATTCTAATTTGCAATCTTTCGTTTATTTGTTCTGTCTGATATTCGTTTCTTTTTTTCTTCATTTTTTTTCTACCTCTCCTCGGCGTTCAACTACAAAACAATTTCACGTGTCATATTGCGCGCTCATTCACATTCATTCTCTCGCTCGCTCTCACTCTTACACGCTCGCTCGTTTCACCCCTCGACGTGCGAATCAGCTGCCAGATAATTTATCTCGTTTTCTGCGTTTTTTTAATATTCTGTTTGTTTATATAGTTATAATAACCATTTTCCCAACGACTACACACTAAATAGTTCAAATTTTTTGCACTTTTTCACCAACAACAACTGGATTGTTGCGCCGAATTTCTTGAGCGCCCATTTCTTTGTAATCAAATTTGCAATCGTGCTTGTCACTGTATCGATGCACGGCGCAGAATAGTCCTCCACAACGGCACTCAAATCCTGAAAGTTCATCGTCGTTAAAATTTCATGTTGCATGAATAATTACATATCATAACACATTAGATTGCCACTTACCGGTCAAACCAACTTTTTTGCGACATACAGCACAACGATTTTTCTTCTTCTTAGATTCTTTATCAGTCTCTTTGCCATCAAAGGAGTCGTCTACATCACCACTACTCGCAGATGAACCTTCAGCTACTGCACTGCTTACACCTACTTCACTTTCCTGATCTTCTCTGTTTACCTGATTGACAAAAGCATAACACATACTGTAAGAACAATAGAAATAGTTACGGTTATTTATGGTTTTGTTACGATTGTCTTTCAAGTTTCCTTTATATCCTACTTTAATAGGAATAAAATAGGACTTAAATTTAATAGGAAAGAATTGTATCATTATATCACAAAAACATAAATTTTTATATTAATAGATAAACCATTAATAAAATTAAATTAATTATATATAAATTATCATTTTTAAAAATTATAAATAATATATAGCGCGCGTGTCCATTATTCAGTAAGTTTCTCATCATAATCAGTGTTAGGAATATTTGAAGTTATTTAAGAAATAATTAAATACTCTACATATATATTGTCCCTGGAACAATATATTATTTCCAGATAATCTATTTTTGAAAGAATTGTAAGTAATTTTTTCCTACAATCCGATTTTTTAAATAATAAAGAGAAATAAAGAGAAATTTATTAAAATAATGAAAAGAAATAAATATATGTTGTATTTTAATATAAAATTTAATCTAATGATTTTTAATATTCTTTCCTCTTGCTGTTCTCAAAATATGTTTCTCTCAAATGTTTTATAGACTAAAAACAATTTGATGTATACGACCTTCTGGATTCAGGACTGCTTAAGCGCTATTTTCTGCAAATTAATTGAAAGAACAAAGGTGTTACGTTTTTGCAGATTAGCTGCGTCAATGACATGATGATACTCACTTCTTTGGGACTGGGCAGATCTGACGTTGACTGAGGTATAGTAGGAATGGTAGGTTGGGCCGTCGTTCCTGTAGCTGCTGGGCTACTGAAACTGCCTTGCAACGTGCCAGCGTTGCTGGAGACAGTCTGTGAGGTTGTTACGGTGGCAGTTGACACTGGAGGTTGTTGCTTCTTTTTTAGATTTTCTTTATAGCAGAGGGAACAAAGGCCATCAGTAGCTGGCGAGCCATAAAATCCACAGCCACTGCGACACAAAGCTTGCATAGGATTGGATTCTCGTTCCATAACTCTTATCTTTGTCACTCTTCGTTAATCAAAAAGACTCCCGTTTATATCCTAATTGCGATCACTGCCTTGAGAAACAGTGGAAAGTCGCAGTCAGCTTGGTGTAGGATAACTAGGTGTAGTCCTTTGCTGCAGCTCTCTTCCCAATTGCTCCTCTACAACCGTGTGTCACCATGTACTCACCTGTTATAATTAAATTGTACAAATAAATAATTAAAGTAATTAAATTGTATAATAGTCACAGACAAAAGAAAATGTTAATTAATATTCAATATACTAATATAGAATTTATGAATAAATATTCTAAATGTGATTAGATATGTATAAAATTCAAATTAAAATATGTAAATTTAGGAATATTATCACTTTAGTTCTTTAATTTTCTTATGTATTCAATATATAATTGTCAATATATAATTGTCTTAAACATATATATATATTTATAAAATTCAAAAAATACAAGTATATTTTGAAAAATGAAAAAGAAATGACAAAGACAAATCAATGCAAAATCATAAGGAATATCATAATATATAAATCTAAAGCTCACAATACTATTTTAATTAATTTCCAAGTATATATCCTTCAATATTATCATTCTTTTTATAAAACAAAGGGACATACACACGGGAGCCAACTAATTTTTCACTATAAAAGGAACCATTATAAGGTCACATGTACGAAACTATAAAGAAGACGATTGGAGAAAGTCTATTATTTAAATAATAATGATAGGCATTTAGGAAAGAAAGACAGACAAATTTTTGAAAAGACGTCAAATTACACACTTTGAACTTGGCAAGAAAAGAAAATGGAAACCTATCAACAATTTATCCTACTTCTCGCGCGCCGTGCAAGGTCAGAGAACACAAATATCTTCTTAATGGAGTATGCCCTTGGATCTGTGGACACGCCGAGGTACTCGATAATAACCGAAATTTCAATTAAAGAACACAACAGTGAGAGAAAAAGGAGCTGATGCTCTGCGAGCCCATATGAGAGCGATAGAGAGCGAGAAGGAGAGACCTCGTTGGGAGCGAGCGAGAAGGCGAGAGGAAGAGGGGAACAATTCCTAGGAATTTTTACTACGTCATCGTGGCGATCCAATATTTTTTTCTCTCCCTTTTTTCCTTTTCTCTCTTCGTCGTGTTAGCTCAGGCCACGATCGTCGCGAGGAGAGGCGTGCTTGCACAGCGTAATATTACTCACTTTCCAACACGCAGCCGTGTCGCAACCGATGCACAACATGGAGTAGGAATTTATGCGAGGCATTTAAGTGGCGGCAGCCGTATCCTTATCGCGACTCGCGGACACCCCGCGCACAAATACGACCGTCAAGAGAGGATCGTCCGTCTCTTTCTTTCGTTGCGTTGATTTTCTCTCTCTCTCTCTCTCTCCCCCGTTTTACGATTCTCTTGCGGCGCACTTCGCGCGGCACACGAAATCGCAACGAAACGAGGCAGCCTTCTCGCCTCACGTTTCCGTCCCTGCGGCGGACGTGGGCCGTGGCGTATCGGACGCGTTAACGTGGCCGTGTTCACGCGACGGTCGTCGGACTTCCCGGCTCGCGACGCTCGATATTAACTCCAGTCCGCCGCGTTAGCCCGCAAGGACGGAGGAGAAACAATGATAACGACGGGCGAATGTTTTCATGATGGCGATCGCGGACCAGGCGCGCTGGCTTTTGGGCGGACGCGTA